TATATATATATATATATATATATAGACGTTTACACACACACACACACACACACACACACACACATACATACACAAACACAAACACACACATACACAAACACACTCACACACACACAGAGAGAGAGAGAGAGATATATATTATATATTATATACATACATACATACATACATACATACATACATATATATATATATATGTACATATATATATATGTATATATATATATATATATATATATATATATATATATATATAAGTATTTATGTATACTATTTTGAATGCACCTATATACAGCGCATATTCACATATATGCTGCTTATTAATATCCGTTTCTACTAGCCGAATTGACGGGAATACCATCAAAAGAACTACCTGATCAGGGAAATAGAGTCCGTCGTGAACACATAGAGAACGAGTCACAGAATCTAGATAGTATGGATAAAGTTCCAGTGACTCCGATGCCCCCGGAAATCAAATACTATCGTAGCTTAGTAAGTCCTACACCCCAACCAGACACATACCCTGAGGAATCGCAACATGATGAAGAAACTATGTCTATATTACCAGATACCTATGACGACCTCGATGCTGCGGTGATCCCAAAAATCTGGATCCGGGTATTGAGCTCGACAATACCCAGGATCCTTTCAATCAGAACTCGCAGAACTCACAGATCATAGATATTCAGGATACATATACAATGACAAACACACAAACATTAAATGAAGTGGTATCAGCAGACTGGACACAGGTACCTGAGAATTGGGGTTTCTTTGAGCTTTATCCAGGAAATATACCACTAGACTGGACGCTGAATGAAAAGTTTATTCCACAAGCTATTCAGATAAGTTAACAAAGCCGGGCCTCCACATTAGACTCTATGTTATAAACGTACTCTTAATCAGTACGTATACTAAAAAGCGTACTCTTATTAGTACAAGGAACTTAAGTTTTCTAAATGGTTTTTAATGGTTTTATTAACTAATACCTTTTCCATTTTACATATCAGATATTTGGACAAGGCCATTGAAAGGCCCAAGTAAAATACCAAACATAAGATTTGGTCTAGTTCTATTAATATAACTATGTTTACTTTCCAACTTTATTTATATCTGAATACTTTGGTAGCGAGATGGCTCAACCGAATATCAGTTTCTAGGGACTATTAACGTTACCTAGTTGATCCTCCGATCAGCCAACCAGATGTGCCCGTCTGATGAAGGCTAAGTCGGTAATTCTTGATAAGTGGCAAGTTATTGGTGAAGACAATAACTAAGGACATCAAGAGTATTTTTCTTCTTCTTCTAAAGATGGGATTTTATGAGTCTCTCAGATTGGCCCCAACGAAAAATACCATAGTTTCTAATAGAGCGACAACGAAACACTAAATATAACCCCTTCGGCGGAAACAGTACTGAGAGGATTATATATAGGCAATGTCTCAGACTCACAATTCCTCAGAGTATTGCTGTTCACGAGGCATACCTAACTTTACTAAAAGACTCATTTCGTTTATTTACTTTTAAATTTTGATCTACTTAGACTTAACCTAAGCGTTTATTTACTCTAAGGCGTTGATACTGCCTTAATAGACCGAAACGTACACATTTTAATGTTAGCAAAGGTATTAACTACTTCGACTACTTAAACGTAAAGGTAGGTAACTACCACGATTTTTTTCCTAAGCACAGTCATTCCTTAGAAGAATAATACTGAAGTCATAAGTTAAGATAAAGACAGAGAATACGCCTGCAAAGAAACACAAGGCCGAACGTAACAAGATGGAGAGAGAAGCCGCTAGCACTGCAGCAGTTACCGCTGCCGCAGAAGCAGTCGCCGCTGCTGCGGATGCGTTTAACCTCACCGTAGCCGAAGCACTTGTCTCCAACAACAATATTCAGGACAATGCCTCGGATAAGGATGTAGCCACTCCAATTAAGGAAACTACTCCTGCAGATAGAGCCCGAGGGCCAACTATTGCCTCAACTTCGAAACTTGCATTTACGAAGCCAAGAAGTGAGACAAGGGACACGTCTCAAGACGCCCAAATCAATTCTTCTGACAAAACTCAGAATTATAGGGGACAAAGACGAATCTCAGAAACTACCTATACCTGAATCAGAAGAGGAAACAAGCTCAAGTGGCAATCCCGAATCTACGTCTGAGACCACTCAACCAACGCGCATAGGTAAGTTAACTACTGAAAACAGTTAGCCGCCCTTATGAAAGGCATGACTGTTGAACATGTAGATACAATGTATGGTTCAGGACAACATGCACAGCACTTACGCGAGCATGTTTCTCCGGGTACTACTGAAACCCGACAGAAGTGGACATAACGTCGACTGGCAATTAGGCCTGAAAAGTGTAAGCACCTGAGCGCTACACATGTGGCAGTTGAATCATATGTGCGCAGCGTATCTATACCTTTCGAGGTACTACCACCAGAACTTCAGGCTAATTACTTGCCTGTTCTGACACCCGGCCGTGAGTCACCCGTCCTTGAGAGTATTATAGACCCAGAGGCAGGTAGAAATACACCGCCACTCTTTTACCCAATTGGGATGACAATCGTCGTAAACCAGTTAAGACTGGGTATGTTATCCAGATGCATGAATCACCTAAGATTATAATATCAACCACTATCCGAGGAACAGAGCACCGAAAGGCCTCTTGACCATTGACTTTACAAGGGATAATAGACACTCCCATAAACGTGTTAACGATGTCGAATTTAATCGCTTCGATCGCACCGCATTACACCAGCCCGCAGAGGATTTCTACTCTGACGAAGTGACCGAACTTAATAAATCGGTCGACGATTACACCATTAAAATAAAAATCGCCCATGACGAGCACCGTGCTGATGACGAATCATATTTTGCTAATATGATCGCGATCAAGCAGAAGCGCATCGATCAGCTACTTCAGGCCCAACGTGGGCAAGACCACCGGGATAACCAGAAGTACAAGGGATAGATCAGTCCACTTAAGTCGAACTGGGATGCCAACAGCAAGCAGGTCGAGTTTATAAACAACCATGACCTCGACACGCTAACCTGTACGCTTATTGCGTTTACGGTCATGCTGGAGACGAATGATATCGCTCCCCAGCAATGGATTTCTGCTTTAATGCAGTCGTTTGACCCTACAGGAACAAGTTAACTTGATCCTGCAGCGACACCAGCATGAGCTAGACACTTGTCGAGACTGGCCAGCTGTGTGTTGATTGGAAGCAAGGACATGCGCAGTCCAGGACTGAGTTTAATCTTGACTGAACCAGTTGAGAAAACTCCTATTCAGAGTTACATTCTGAAACTTGATGCTGGCCTTACAAAACTTTCAGATATAACAAAGGACAAGGCGCAGCGATGGTACCAGTTCCTGATTATGCATGTTTTCTGTAGGGATATAGGGAACAACGACCGTGAAAGTCTGTACACCGAGTTGTGACGTAAATACGCAACTGAGGCTCGAGACAAGGGACATGAAACAAAGTTTCATCTATCCCGACTTACGTGGGAACAGTTTTATGATACTATATCCACTCTTTTCCCCGCACACCGAGTACCCTCGCAGGGAAAGGCGGTAAATAAAAACCGCGCGAGCTCCCTGATCAAGGATACCTCTCACGCCAGACGTCAGATGATATACCTCATCAGACGCGTCCTAACCAGACACGTGCTTGCGACTCCACTCAATCAATGCAACCCAATAAACGGGCACGCGCGGAGCCGAAGGACAAGGAGCCTCCATTTAAGGAGATTAAGAAATGTGCCGACGCACAGTGTGGGCATGACAGGTACCAATTGACCCTTAACGGTTATTGGGATGGTAGACCTGCACCCACGTGTACACATTTTCTTACTAAGTAAGACAAGTGTGAGAAGACCAATGGCTATTACGCCAAGTCTTGCGGCAAGAAGCCCGACATTAGGTTAGAGCGAAAGTACTACCAGGTACAATCGTTACAAAGAAAATAGAACGACTCCTTAGATGAGTGTGTAATAATCCCTGTATATTGCGACGGAAATAAAGTCCTTGCATTAATTAATCCTGATTCAGAAATTTCATTTATATCCGACCGCTTTGCATTAATGAAAGACATTGAAAGGCAAACTCAAACCACTCACCTAATTTTAGCAGATGATAAAACTTCTAAGTGTGATA